GACCAGCGTCTGGTCGACTCCAGTAAGGTTCCAGTGAGGGATATTTGCGACCGGACCCGTCCGGTCAGTGGTGATCAGACCCTTCCAGCGTCTAGTCAACACTTAAACACTGGTGTGCGGGTTGAACTAACCGGAGCGTCCGGTCAACATGACCGGAGCGTCCGGTCACCCCGCAGTGGCACATAACGGTTCGTTTTTCAGCCCATGTTATAAATAGAAGCTCCACTAGTGTGTGGAGTTGCTTTTGCTCATTCCAACAGCTATAACACACCATAGAGAGTGCCAAGAAGAGCAAGGTCCTAGTGATGTGATTGAGATTTGAGAATCCCAAAGAGAGCCCTCATTAGTGAGATTAAGAGTAGCAAAGTGTGCATCCACCCTTCTCCCTAGACTTGTCGTGGTCAAGTGAGAGTTCGTGCTTGTTATTCTTGGTGATCGCCATCACCTAGACGGCTTAGTGGTGATTGGAGAGCTTGTGGATGACCCAACTCAAGTTGTAAGCGGTTGTGGGTGATTCACCGTGACGGAGTGTCGAAGAATCAACCCGTAGAGAGCACTTGATCCTTGCGTGGATCAAGGGGGAGCAACACCCTTGCGCGGGTGCTCCAACGAGGACTAGTGGGGAGTGACGACTCTCCGATACCTTGGCAAAACATCGCCGCGTTCCTACTTCTCTATTTACTTTGAGCATTTATTTTGAGTATTTCCTTTGAGTAATTACTTTGAGTATTTACATTGAGCAATTCAATTCTTGTCTTTACAATTCATAGAATTGCCATGCTAGAGTAGGATTGGAACTTAGGTTGCAAGTCATTTGTGTGGTAGAACAACTAGAAACACTTCTTAGGCATAAGGGGTTAATTGGGCTAAACGTAGGATTTAATTATTGCAAAGAAATTTAGAATTAGCCCAATTCACCCCCCTCTTGGGCATCTTGATCCTTTCACGCGCAAGTACCAGCGCCTCCCTGCTCCTCCTCACTCCTCCGCGCTGCCATGGCTGCTTCCACCGCCGCCACAGCACGCGCGCGCGCGCAAGCCGCAGCCCCACTGCGTGGTCCTATGCCACACCCACGCCTCGCCGGTCCGTCTACGCCGGGCCAACTGCTCTGACGCCACTGCAGGGCTCCATCCCCACGCTGCCCCACACCACGTTTCCGTTCGCGTCGAGCCCCGCCGCGCCCTCGGCGTCACAGCCGCCGTGGCCGCCACCGCCGGCCACGCAACCCCTTCCTTCCCCGCGCTAACGCACGAGCGCTGCCCCTCCGGAGTCGCTGTTGCCGGCACTCCCGTAGTCACTGCCTGGGCCGAGCCGCAGCCGACTATGCCTGGAGTACCGCCCACGAGCCCGTGCTGGACCGTAGCCGCAACGTCTCGCAGCTTCGTCCACATTCGCCCGGCCACACTGCGGTCCTCGCTGCCCTGTGCACTGCCTCCATTGCCGCTGCCGGCCGGTACTCCGCTGGTGCTCTGTTTTTGAAGATGAAGAAGGATATGGATCCAAGAAGAAGTGTTATACAAGGTCCTTATGGTAAAATATGAGACTCACATAAATAGTGCGTTTATAGTGTGAGGCGATTTGAGAAAAACTCGGGGGTCTAATTGCTTAAATGGAGCCGCTGTCCCGGCTTGTTGGGCGGCAGATTATTGGGCCCAGCCGCCGGTCGGCTTTGTTGGGCCGGCTTAGTACCGCCGGCCAATCGGTCTCACGTTCATCGCCGGGCCACCCGCCTGGTGGGCCGGTGCCACGCTCGTCACGGGCCACGTGGGCTGGCTCATTGGTTCTGCCGCTGGGTGCACCACCTGGATGGGCCACACGCCCTGTGCCAGGTCTTTGGCCGGGCCGGTTGTCGCCACGCTTTGGGCCACGCACCCTCTAGGCTGGCCGGTTGCCTCGCCATTGGGCCGGTTGTTGGCTGCTGGTTCCTTTAGTTCTAAAGCGATCGCTAATTTAGTCCCGGGAATAAAAATTGTAAAATCAATATAAGATGGTATAGGAATCCAAAAATTGTGCAACCAGTTTTGTTGAGTCTCTAAAATCATGATCTACCTGTTAGTATATTTTGTTCTCATAGTTTGATAATATTTTTGAAAGTTATATAATTAATTAGAGATAATTAATATTATGAAAAGGTAAACTTGTAGGAATTTCCGTGGTAAATTAGTAATAGTGTTGAGTCTGAAGTTTTCATAGTAGGTTCCTAGCAATGTTAGGTGCTCATTGTAACTGTTGTAGCTCCAGGATAATTAGTTCCCTAGAAGGATAATGATGTCCTATTTCGAATAAAGATTAAATTAATAGAACGGGATAAAGAAACAACTTGGTTTGTATAACTAAAATAATTGTTGGAAAATGACGTCTTTTCCGACAACGTGTATATGTAGCCTAAGTACGATCATCGTTAGAACTAGCCCGTTAACTCGAGTAGGCGACGTCGTATTTTATGAGGCACGATTGCAGTTAATTAATTACATCTTTGCATTGGATCGCATGCATATCATATAGGTACGATGATGGATCAATGGATCGATCGAAGGATGATTGGGAATCCAAAGATGGTGTAATGGTATTCTCTCCAGGAGATGATGCAATGGGCTTGTTATTCAGCTGATGGTGGATGATCTGAAGATGCAGACACTAACTTTTTAACATATCTTACCCAGGCAAGCCCCGGTGCATAACCTATACTTTCTGCAGTTTAAATTATATTTGTGCATTAAGTTTTAAGGAGTTGATTGAAACCCACTTGCATATACCTATCTTTATCCTATGAGTCTTACTAGTATGACAGGATAGTGTAGATTGCTATGCTACAGGACTCCAGTAGAAGTCGAGTGATTGCCTGTCACTCACGAGAGATAGGAAATATATTACTGTGTTATTATTACTTGGAAAATATAAATGGTGGAAAGGTAAACTGGTGACCAGGCAGAGATATGGTTTGGGTATTGGCGGGTGTAAGAGGTTGTGTCGCCGTGGACGCGGGGCATGGCTTGGTTACACTGCTTTTCCTGTCTGGTCGGTTAAGGATCGGTCATTGCATAAGGCTCTAGGCAAGTCATAGACTTATTATCTCGAGCACATACTTGGGTATGGGCGCTTGGAAGACTTGTTGCTCTCTTGTCGCGGATCCGGCTCTTTTCGGACCGACTGTCAGGGTTTTATTTTGGTGGAGGAGGTCTTTACACCGCACTGAGTCCGGGACTCAGGGGCGGGGGCTTGGAGTCCTAGTTTGGACGGGGACCTGGACACCCAGGATAGGAGAGTGATGGGTTGGTCCTACTTGTGCCTGGGGTACAAGCGAGGCGTGTGTTTTTGGGGTACCCAGCTGGAGGCATTGATTCATAAATCGTCGGGAAATCTGATACGGCTCGTCTGCGGCCTAGCACCGTAGTAAGAACTGAAAGATGAAAGATGGAATGGAAAAAGGAACTTTGATTGCTTACCACCTGCTTGAAAGTAGCACAGGTGCTTACACAGAATGGTTAGTTAATGAACCAATGCGGCTATTAATAAAAATCGAATATAAGGACACACGTTTAGTAATGCTTCCCGTAAATGCAATGAACCCACAAGCCAGATAGTTTTGCATATCCTTGGAGTCTTTTTCTTTTCTCCTGTCGGGTAAGTCTTGCTGAGTACAATTAAGTACTCAGGATTTTATTCCCCCTGTTGCAGGTGACAGGTGAAGGCTAAAGTTGACCCTTGTGTGTGGATACCTCCTGGTGGGCTCAGCGATGATTTCTTTACGCTGCGATCGTAGTTTTATTTACAACTCTCACCAAATATTTTTATAAATGAAAGTTTATAATTTGTTGTCATAGTTGTTATATATCAATACTTCAACATGTCATGAATAGATATTTATTTTTCCGCTGTTACATTAAGTTATTCATAACTCTAATAATATAATTACATTCTGCTGTTATAGTAAATAAACATTATACTCTGATGTTGTACTAAAAGTGATGTAAGAAATGGTTAAGAATGATGTAAGCTTTATTCTCTCATTTGTGATCCTGATGACGAAAATATGGGTTTTCGGGTTCTCCCCTGGGGTGTGCCCGACGGAACCGAGTAATTTAGTGCTCTCCTTTGGGTGCTTCATGTCTCATGGAAGACAAGCACTCCTGAGAGGCATTAGATTAGGCGGTTCTGCCACATGGCGCAAGTGCAGGCCTCCCCAGCCTCTTCTTCTGCGACGGGTAAAGTGGATGGGCATGGCACAGGGTGTGGAGCAGCGCGAGATGTGGCCGGGCGCAGCGGCGGAGAGAAAGACGGGCAAGAGGCGCGGTCGTAGAGCAGTCGCAGCACTGCGGCGATTGTTTTTAAGAAACTGCAGTGCTTAAAGGGGAGCGGATAAGAGAACATCTGTATCCCACGACAGGGGAATTAATTGGTATCGTCCTGATTTATCAAACGTTTTTGTTTACTAATATACTGTCCCTAAATAAGTGTTGCGTTTACTAATATACTCTTTGTCCCTAAATAAATGTTGCTATGGTATTCGTGACGATAAAACTTTTTAAGTTTGACAAGATTTATAGAAAATATTAATAATATTTATATTTATATCTCCAAATAAATTTATTATAAAAATAGATTTTAATGACCTATCTAACTAATTATGTATTACAAATATTAATATTTTCGTGTATATATTTAGTTAAAATTAAAAGAGTTTGACTTTTCAGAGAACTATGTTTATTTAGGGACAGAGGGAGTCCCTAACAACAGACCGTCCAGAGAATTAACCATATGCCAACAAGCCCGGAGATCATAGGACATTTCATTCGGTGGACAAAAATAAGGGTTGGTCACTTTGTGACGCCGTAAATAAAGTACATAAAACATTGTACCGACGCCCAGTGCTGCAACTATCCTGTCATACAAATCAATAAGGTGTTCGTCTAGTCTACCATCCAGCAATACAGCGCTTGCGAACACTACGAGCCAAGTAGCCAACTATACGGGTCTGGCCAACTATTCCCCGCATATGCTCATAAGTTTGGGAACTTCGTACTGTACTCCTGAGCGGACTGCAGAAAATAAAGGAAATGTTTTAAAAAGGGTCCAATAAAAAATAGGAACAAGTTATTCATTAAGAAACATGGCATCTAGAATTCAAGATGACATTACCATAAATGTCGCTGTAATCATCTTTCCCGCGAACCATCTTCCATGAAGTGCTTGTTGGGCCTTCACTGCTGCAGACACACTATCGAACTGCAGATACACAAAGCCTGCAGTATTTCTGCTCCAACAGCAACACACGTGACATGTTAGTTGATTGGAAGTTGAGAATACAAAACACGGCCACATAAAATAAGTCTTGAGTTTCAGAACCAAAGTAAACACCATTAGGAAAAGGAACAAACTAAACTGCAGCAGATTTTGTTTTAAAAAAAACATTACTCAAATTAGGAATAGATAGAACATAAATATAATTGAGTTGATTAAGTAGACCAAAGTCGCATTACACTACTATTGTTAGGACAACCAAGACAAATTCCACTCCCTCTGTCCAAATTATACTTTTGACTTGTCCTAAGTCAAACTTTTCTAACTTTGACCCAGTTTTTAGAAAAATATAGTAACATCTACAAGTTCAAATAAATGCACTATCAAAACATATCTCATGGAGAATTTAGGGAAACTAATTTGATGTTGTATATGTAGGTGATTTTTCTATAAACTTAACCAAGTTGAACTATTGTTTCAAACGGAAGGATATTGAACAATGGGAAAGCCAACTTACTTGTCAACAAAAATATGCTTCACTGCACCAAACTTGGAACATTCATCTTGGACATCATCTCTAATATCCAAGTCAAAATCAGGATCCGTCTGAAAAGTAAAAAGAAATAAACTTCTCATCAGTAGGTCAGTAAGATGCAGATGCGTGACTGATAGTATCAAGCAACATTGAAACAAACGTACAAATGCCAAGGAAGACAAATTTTGAACCAGCCAAACAAAAAATCATCATGCCCGTGGCATGCCTAAAATACATGAACAAACACTGCAAAAGAGGAATACCTCCAACGCTGGGTCAAACATGTTTTTAAGCAACAAGAATTCTGTAGGTGTAGACATGATCACATTCTGAGTGGTGACAGGAAGCACAGGTGCTCCAGGAACTGATCCAACAGCAGCAACTGTTGGTGATAGAAGAGAAGCAGCTCCTGGAGCCCCAATAACTGATGTAGCTGGTAAAGCCACTCCAGCAGCACCAATACCACCAGTTAAGCTGTAGAAAACCAAGAAAAAAAAAGTCAGCAACACACAAATAGCAAATTATTAGTGTAACTATCTGAGTCAACCAAAACTCGGTAGATAATAAAACAAGCTCCATGAAGAATGAACTTAACAATCAACATGCCAGGAAAAATAAATCCTGATGCTAATATGTACATCAGTAAAATAGGCTTTGGTACAAATCGATGATCCCAATATGCTTTAATTAGCAAATTCATAGAGGACTTTTATTATATTTATCTAATTCTTCAAAGCAGTGAAACCCCATCCCCAACGGTATGTTGGAGGTGACAGCAATCTGTGGACGGTCACTGGAATAACACCATAGGACATAAGCTAGAGGTGTGCAGTGCAACATTGTTAACCTGATTTTAGTATAGCTGCACAAATTGACAAAAGATTTTTAATCTACTATTGATAAATAACCCTAGTTAAAGAAGTTAGCAACTGAAGTCAGGAATGAAGCCAAATTGATCGAGTCATGAAAGACTTAACAAATACCTGGTTGCAGTACCACTCCTGTCCAATTTGAGCATAAGAGCAGCTCTGGAGCTTGCATTTAGTGCCTGCACATGTTTAACAAATGCATCAAATAGAGCAAAATCCTCTAGCAAGAAGCATTGAAATATGTAGGATGACTGGTTGACCACCCCATTCCCCAGTATTCCCCTTTAGCATAATGCATTAATGCCAAACTACCAAGTGAAGTGGTAACATCAAAACAGTTTAGAGGCTATGCGAAAGGTCTGAATGATGAAAAAAAATTAAGGTGAATGTAAGTATTCATATGTTTAGCCCCATACATTCATTGCCAGCGCATTGCCAATTCTACAAGATACGACAGAATACAAACAGCACAATTTATATGAATTGAGCTATGATATGCATCCAGGCCCAGCTGTTCTCTTTTTCTGACATATGTAGCTTGCAAATTGTAATAATATAGAAGATAAAATATTCTGAATTTATTATGAATAAAAAAGTAACCACAAACATGAGTCAACTATGTACATTCTAGCTTCCCTATCATATACAACTCAACAAGTCTTTCAATGTGAAACCATTCTATCCAAATGCCTAACAAGAACACATAAATCTTGATAGCTGCATAACGCTTCAGAAAGAATAAATTAAATATCTCAACATATTTTTTGTAAGATTATTATATGTGAACGGAACCTCCCAAAATTCTGAAGATTCTGTTTGTAATATATATGCAAGGTTAAATCCTCTGCTTTGCCCAAATATCAAGGTCCAAAAACTTATAAAAGGCATAGAAATCCCAGTTATATAAGGTTATCCAACATGTTGAACCAAATAAGTTCACCCACCAAGCCTCCACCTTCATCATCATCTAAATCTCCAGTAGTTGCTCCACTAGCTTGCACTCCCATATGATCAGTAACAGCTGACACCTGGTTGAAGGAAAGAACAAGGGTGTTAAATGGATGGACTATTGTCAACCATGTATTATCTGTTCCATAAACCACATGATTGCTATGAAATGTTACCTTAATAACTCTGCCGGCGATATCAAGCTGCCCATTCAAGCTCTGTGCAGCTTTTGCATCTTCAAGCCGTGCAAACTGCATGGCGCAACATAGTGAGAATAAACACAGACATGGTCAATGGTGGAGCTTCAGGGGAAAAACTTACCTGAATAAAACCATAACCTTTGCACAATCCAGTCATTGGATCTAGAGGAAGCTGTACAAGCTCCACTTGCCCAAATGGTTCAAATACCTGGAGACAGAAACTTATCATCACACACAATGGATAGTGAGGAACTAAATACAAGTGGCAGTCATTCGGTCATTCCTATTCGGACATAATGAAAAACATCCTTAACTAAAACATGATAATATGGACTTGGAGAACTAACTCTCCACAAAACAACATGCAGCAACGAACAAAACTATTTTGTCAAGAGTAGTTTTGGTCACATTAAATTTTAGGCACTACAAGTGAAACCCTGAATCTCACAGGACTAACTGAAGCCCAAAAGTTATTTAGTACACCTTATTAAAATGAAGTACCAACATATCCCAATACATAAGCAAATAATTAACTGACAAAATATACTTAAAACTTTTTCTATTGCTGCAGTGGTTTTTTTCCATCACGAATTTGAAAAAAATCATATAGTGAAAAAAAAGGAATGATAAATGAATAACTTATAAGCGGGGTGAGCAATACAAGATCATATCAAATGTACCTGTCTCAATTGGTCTTCAGTAATATTTGAGTGAAGATTGCCAACATACAACTTTCTTCCTCCACCTGAAGCCGCACCACCTGATGTCGCATTTGACTGAACTAAGTTCTTTTCAGCCTCAGATGGCTTAACCATCACTGCTTGTCCAAGCAGCGGTTGACCAGACAGAGCAATTGCCATTGGAACAGACATAACATCGTAAAACTCAATGTACCTGCAAATTTTAGATATATGTTTAGTACAAACATCGAAGCGTCCAAGAAAAGATGTCTTCCTGTAAAAGAAAAAGAAAAGAGCAATAAGTGGGGCATCAAATGTTAAGATATTTCAATTTTTCACAGAAAACTTCAGGCATTTTGATAAAAAATTGTGTAGGAGGTTTTCGAACTTGGTTCTTGGGTGCCCCCTTTATTGCCTAGAAACCTGCACCAAGTGTTTGTCAAATACACTGGAATCAAACTGCCCTTGACTGCAGACTGACATCAGAATGATCTAATATTCCATCTTACTTGTAAATTGCCGATAATCCCAGCAGGTAGACCAAATTAAAAATTTCAGTGTGCAATCCTGTTGAGTATGACAAATTGATGAAAAATGATCCCCAGAAAAATGCCAAACATGAACTACAAAGGATGCGCACACAAAATATGGCCACTAATAGATTTTTTTTTAAAAAAAAAAAAAAAATTGATAGGCAACGGTCACAAAATCAGCTATTTATTTTGATAGAAGTAAATCCCCAATACACAGAAGTTGATCCACAACAATGTTTAAAAAGGTGATTCCATGCTTAAACACTAATATTTTTGCAGGAAGCAAGCCGAATTAAAAAAAGATCAAGTAATAGGACAACCATTTAGAAAGATAGTCTTATTGCACTCGAAAAGACTACCAACTAACAAATGAAAATGCACTCGACAAAATTGGCAGCTTGGTTAGCTTTGGTTAAGCACATAAACATGGATTGTTAAACTTTTGTAATGTCATTGCTTTTGGGCAATGAAATTCGGTTCGTCCATGGTGGGAAAAATAATTTTTTTAAGGTTTCCTGAGCACAAGTGTATGCTGTCATCCAGGACACAATCAAAATTCTAACCCGCTATTTTATATGGCACAATTCTGGAGATACTAAAGCTAAACTCCAGACAATGCCCCCACAAATATGCTAACCGCAAACACTAATAAACACACGAGTTTAGTACATCTCTAGATTACCGCACAAATCGGGAGTATAACAGGTATACAATGCTCACCCAACTCCTTTAGAACGTCTTGAGTTTCGGTCCATGATAAGACGAACATCACGAACCTGGAAAAAGTTAACATAAACATTAGAAATTAGCTATCAAATCATCAAAATCCCAATTACCATATGAGAAATGTTATGCTCTTTTCACAGTAGACATATGTGAGATTGTAAGCATGTAACATTCTTAAATATGCTCTTACATTTGAAATGATATAAATTGTCTCATATGTGTGGATTTGATAAAAAAAATCCGTTTCACTAAAAACAGCAATGTGTGACATCATATGTTTTACTTTGTGGGGAGACATAGCAAACAAATGCCTACAGCATCGAATGCTGATGATTTGCCCAACTAATAACAATAAATACAAAAACTTAGAAGCATCTTACCTTCCCAGCCCTTGAGAAAAACTCATAAACATCTCTTTCGTCTGCCTTCAAAGATAGCTGCAAGTAATGCTTACTAACATTAGTTTAATGGGTCAATGTATAAACTAGTACGGTAGAGCACTTTATTAAAAAATCAACCTGGAAGGCAAATACAGTCCTTTGGTCCCTTTCTGGATCAACTTCTGGCTCTGCCCCATCATCTCTCCTACGCCTTCACAACGAGAAAAGAAAACATATTTAACGAAGCAGCATAAGCAATGCATGAAGCACTAAAAATAGAATTGTGACTACTATTATATGATCGTTTATTAATATGTTCATCCCTGATAAGCACAAATAACCAAATGTGTCCAAGCACCCCAACTGTGCCAGCCCAATCCATGTCCCCCAACTGTGCCAGCCCAATCCATGTTGTTAACTTGCAAGTACTCCACAAGGATTTGATAAAAAAAAGAATGGTGACCTGATATCTTGAGTCAGGCCCAATTGCAGGTACCATCTGAAGACGGCTCTATCGTATCATATCTGCGAGTTCCCATATTAATATTCAACATTCAAACTTAACAGCCCTAGATGATAATATAACAGTAAACTACAGTCATATGTTAGCAGCCCTATAAACACTGGTGATTGGTACTAATGCAAACTAACTATGTTTGACATGTATATGCCAAAAGAAAGTCATAAAGCTACTATACATATAAGTTGCACATTACAACACATAGCTACTCCCTCTATTCAAAATTATAAGACGTTTTCTAGTTTTGCTATGCACTTAGATACAGACTATGTCTAGATAATACAAAAGCAAAACGTCTTATAATTTGGAACGGAGGGAGGACAAAATTTCTACAGCAACAGAGAATCACGCGCAGTTGCGCACTCAATCAAGCAAATCCAACCCCCAGCTCTACTCTCTTAAAGACTTAAAAGGTTGTACAGACCCTTACAAGAACAAGCCCCAGGATAACAAAATGTTGGTTTTGGTAACTGACCGTACAAAGGGTTTGGAACTAGAAACTTAGCCTCTATGATGAATCACATCACAGACCTTTACCAATTGACACTCCAACGGGCTAATTTGAATTGCATCAGACCTGTCCCAATAGCATTATACAGGAGAGTTCACGAATTCGTACCTGACGTCACCGCGATAGAGGTGTCGCTCGCTGCGCTCGCGCTCCCGCTCCAGCTCCCTCACCATCTCCTCTTCCTCGGCACGGCGCCGCTCCGAGCGGCTCCGGCTCCTCCGCTCCCGTTCCACTTCCCTCTCTCTGAGCCGGTGCCTGTCCCCCCTCTCCTTCTCCCGTTCTCTCCCTTCCCTGTCCCTATCCTTCCCGCGGCTGTCGCGGCTCCTCTCCTTTTCCTTCCCGTCATCCCTATCCCGGTCGCGGTGCTCCCGGCCGCTGCGGTCCCGGTCCCGGTCGCGGTCCTCCCCCGAGCGGGAGCGCTTCGATATGCGGTCCTCGCCGCTCTCGCGTCGGCGCGAGCCTCGGTCCTTCTGGCCGGAACCATTGGACGGCGGGGGAGCGGGCTCCACCGCCTTCTCCAGGTACTCATACTCGTCGAACTCCATGGAGGCGGAGCGGAGCGGGGCGGGGCGCTCGAGTGGATCGGGTGCGGCTGTGAAACCCTAGACGGCGGCGCGTTGGGGGGGGAGGGGAGGAGGCAGGAGAACTGTAAAGTCTAAACCCTATCGTCGCGGCCTTCTGGATTGGGCGATACTTTTTTTTGGGGGGTCCCTATAATGGTGCGCTATGGTACCCACGAATATACCGCCCCATAGCCCATAGGTGTCCATGCTTTTTTTCTTCTTCTTTTTTGCAAAACAAAGAAATTTCGAAGGGAGTTTGGATTGCACAGCGGGAAAAAAATATACCACGGTAATATAAATACGAATGTGTGTTGTACTGTTACGTAAGAAATGATACTTTGAGCGTTATGTTCATAATATTTCGTTTATGGCCGATCGTCAAGGGCTAATGGATCGGAAAGGAAAAACGAAATATATAGACAGGATGTTTGTGGCAATGGCAGCCGGGCAGGCACATGTGCAACCGGCTTTCTCCAACTGCAATGCCGAATGGCCGTGCTTGGACGGAGGAACAAATCATCAAGCCGTGGAAGGGGGACGTGGCTGCTTCAGATCGATATGGTGGACGAGGAAGGCGACTTGTTGCGACTGCTGATTGGGGAGGCCGAGGTGTGTTGCCACAGATCCAGGTTCATGGATACACAGCCTGTTCGGTTGACTGGTTCGTATTGTTGCTGGTTCGTTTACGTGAGAGAGAAGTACTGCTGGCTGGTTCATGCGAATAGTGCCCATGTGAGGGGGGTGGCCAGCTAGGCCAGCTAGCCAGCCCTAGCCGAACGGGCCGACAGATTGGGGCGTGCAGGGTTGGATAGGTGCAGTGATTTAAATTTTGTAATTTATGGTTTTTGCCAATATTTTAAATCACGGGTTAAAGCATTTAGCAGAGACCACAGAAAAACACCGAGTACCAAAAAAATATGCAATTTATGGCCAAGCAATAAGGGATTTCAGAAGATATTCACATTCACGCTTTCATAGGATAGCCGATAAGTGCGTAACAATATTGCATAACTAAGACATAGTAGATAGTAGTGACAAACCTTACACAGATATTAAGACTCACAGTCAAAAATTCAGTTCTAGTGCCTGTGTTTTAGTTTCAGACTTCACTACTTCTGTCATTCAATGTTTCAATCGCAATCTTGCAGATTATGCACTAATCTCTGCTTAAGTGTTTGACTGCACACAAAACAACGACCAAATGGACAAGCTATCCACTAATGACGATCCATGACATCCAGTACTTGTACCGCGTACAAATCTGACTTGTAAATTAACAAATTTGAGTACTTGGCATGAATATATTAGAGAAGAGGATGAGCAAAGGAGTAGCACTGGTCTGCCGTAACTGATTTTCATCTGTTTCTGTTGTGGCTGTGACATCCTCACTTAGCTTTGCGTGCCGGTGGTACCGTGCAGTAGTGCAGCCACACCCACATAGACGGGCACATTTAGACGGGCACATTGTTCCCTGTTGGGTAAACAAATCACACAAGCATTAAAGTTTGAACACAACTCAAAGTTGTATTCATCTCATGATCGTACTGTACATGTCAGAGAGGGTATTTATAGGGATCCTAATCTTCATATTTTATATAAAATGATTATTTTACCCTAACTCGCATAATTACAACGCTTTTGAACTATAAGGGCGAAGTGGTCTTTTTCTCATTTTGAACCTTCATTCTTCAACTTTCAGTACATGTCTTCTTGAAGTCTTCGCCTTTTTGGACTTGGTTGATTTTTGTATCATCTTTTCCTGCCTTTTAAGCGAAGTCAAAACTTTGTCTTCGCCTAATCTTGTTTCTTTCTTTTCTCCAACAAAGACGTCTGTTGAACGAAGTCAAATTCTTGTCTTTGGTCAACCTTGCTTCCTTCTTTTCTCCAACGAAGACGAAGTCTTTTCGACGAAGCTGAATTTTTATCTTCGCTCTGTTTCTTTTACTTGCAAGCAAACTTTGTTTCGAAAATTATAATTTCAACTCCGAAGTTTCAAGGCTGAGATTTCTTGGCGAAATTAAATCTCCAACAGTAGCCCCTCGCGGGCGAAGGCCTACTCCAAAGGTCTGAATCCCGTGAAATTTGGATTTAAAACGAAGTAAAAAAACGCCATCCCGAACTTTGGAGTTGGCCGGTCGATTTTGACCGGCGGAAGTTGAACCATCAGGTTTGACCCGAAGCCGCCTATATATACTGTGCTCCCCCCTGTTTTTGCATCTTTATCGAAGACGGGGAGGTGCTGCTGAAATTTTCCTTAGAGCGAAGCCAAGCGAAGCCAAGTTCTTTTGCGAAGATTATTTTTCCTGAAAGTGAAAGTTTGGTTGACTAATGTTAGTTTATTACTTTGTTTATTTTTGTTTTCCTTCTTTGTATTTTTTGTCTTTTGAGATGTCTCTTGTTTTGTAGATGTCTGATCAAGAAAAGATTACTTCTGAGAACTCTCCAGTTGAATCCAATCATTCTGGTTCTGAGGAAGATTTGTTGGATGTCTCTGCATCTGAATCAGAATTAGTTGGAGATGATACTAAGTCTTTGAATTTTGGAAAGACTTTTGGATGATAAGGAATTGGATTGGATGGTAGCTAATAGAATGGTGGAAAGGGCTTCTGTTAGATTGCCTGGAGATGAGACAGTTCCTAAGCCGAAGCCACACGAATGCATAGTTTTTTGTGATCAGTTTAGTGTTGGACTTCGCATGCCTTGTCAGGATTTTGTTGAAGAAATTTTGAAAGCATATAACATTGAGATACATCATTTGACTCCTAACGGGATAGAGAAGATTGCTCTTTTTATTTGGGCAGTGAAGTCTCAGGATGTGAACTTAGATATCAGAGCTTTTTGCGCTCTTCATGAGATGCATACTCAGTTCAGAAACAAGTTGCATGAGGGGAACAATATTATTAAGTACTTTGGTTGTTGTAGTTTCAAACCTGCACGTACGGCTAAGCAAATTTCACCAGCTTCCAAGAACAAGTGGGTTGAGAATTGGTATCATTATTGGTTTTATCATTCTGTTCCGCTTGTTGAAGAGAGGGATGAATCAAGAAAGATTGTTAAGTGTTATCCTTTGGCTGCGAAGATGAGTAAGAATATATTTAACTGTAAGCTTGATTTTCCGAGCTCAAAGAATTCTAAAATTTGTGAGAAGGCTTATAAGTTAGCTACTAGTTTGCAAAGCGCTCGTGATCTCTGCGAAGAATATATTGCAGCTCATGTTTGGCCCCTTAGAAAAAGCTGGAGCTTTGTTCGTTTCCACAAGAAAGTTGTAAAGAGGAAAGATTACTTGTATCCAGATAAAGAAGTTGCTGGCCAGAAGAAATATACAAATGATGAAGATTTCGTTTCTGCTGTTGAAGTAAAGGTAGTTGAAATTCTTGGTAAATTTTTGAAGAAGGAGAAAGATTTGATGGATAAAATCTTGAGAAAAGATTATAAGCGTCTAAATAGAGTTTTGAAGTTTCTCAAATCAAGTATGGTGAAAGGCCACCACCAGCCTATACTCGAACTACGAAGCCAGCCATAGAAAATGTTATGAAGAAAAAGAGAGCTGGTTCTCAACTTGCTAAGAAAGTTGTTAAGAAGAAGAAAATTGTTGCTCCTTCCAGTTCTGAGAGAAGTGGAGAAGTTGATGAAGATTTGGGTCTAAATATTGAGAGTCAAGAAGTTCTTAGTCAACAAAGTCGTGATGCTGAGGTGACAATGATTAGTTTAGTTTTTTCTTCCAGTGGATTGACTCCGCCGATGTTGACTCCGCTTAGTGACTATTTATAGAATTTGGGAGGCACTGTGCATTTTAATGAGAATGTTGGCGAAGCCAGTTTGTCTCCGCCTCGGGTGAATATCAGCGAAGATGCTTTGCCTTCTTCTCCGGTTAATCCGGCTTCATCTCCTGTAATTGGTGCTACTAATGTTTCTGCTGCTCGTGATAGGCAGTTAGAAGAAGGTGAGCTTGACATTTTGGCTTCGCAAGATACTGCTGGGCCAACTTCTCATAGGTTTGTTGCTCAAACCCCACGAGATGTTTTAGGAGGTGTTGATGCTGGACTTCGTGCTCCAACTTCTCCCAAAGTTGAGATGGAGGATACTGACTTAGGTGGTGGTGCTGCTGCTGGTAGCAAAGTTAATGAAGATATTTCAAAAGATGGTGCTTGCGCAGCTAAAGATCGCAAGGGTACTTTCACAGCTACTCTTGATTTTGATGATTCTAATGACGATGTTTTTAATGAGGAGGCTGAGGGTGCTAAAGCTGCTCGATTGACCGAATCTACGATTGATGTCAATACTGGCGAGAAAGTTGCTTGCCGACTTGAGAAAGGTGTTTCCATAGGTGAATTTTGTTGAATGTCTAATTTTTGTTTATTATTATTTTTTTGTGTTTTTTGCATCTTATTTTTGACTTCGTTATTATTTTTATAGAGGACTTTTTTCCTGACCCTTCGTCTCAAAAAGAGGCAACTGTGGGATGTTGGAAAGATAAAGGAAGTTGCTCAGGAGCCTGCAACTCCTGCCGAAGCTTTGGAGACTTTCCCATCAGAGATTGATCCTGAAGCTTACAAGCGCTGTTTTGAATATTGCCAGGCTCAAGGTGTGAATTTAGATACTTTTAAATTTGTTGGAATTGGCTTGGACAAACTTCGTATAATGCTGAAGAAACCGGAGCTAAAGTTATCAAAGTGCATTTATGATGCCTTTGCAGTTCCCGATGCTGAAGCTGAACTAGCCGGGAAATCTTCCCTTGAATTGGCGGATGCTAGTGTTTCTTTGATTTACAAGGTACTAGTGTTTCTTTGATTTACAAGGTATTATTATTATTATTATTATTATTATTATTATTATTATTATTATTATTATTATTATTATTATTATTATTGTTGTTGTTGTTGTTGTTGTTGTTATTTTTTGTTGACTTATATTTTGTCTTCGCAATTCTATGTTTTGTTTATATATGTATATTTTCCGGTCTTCCTTTCAGAGTGCTCTTTTACAAAGGGGTTTGCGTAAATCTCTTGAAGAAGAAGCTTAAAATACAGCTATTCGTGAGAAGAATTTGCTTGAAGAAATTAAATCTTTAATATCTCAGCTTGCTGCTAAAGAGAAAGAGAGAGTAGATACTGTTGACACACTCCATATCATGGAGTCGAGGTGTATTTCAACGGAAGCGAAGCTTGAGGGGAAGATTGAAGATTTCCAAAATTTGAAGAAAGATTATGAGAAACTTGAGAGGGAAAAGAAGTACCTTGAAAAGAAGGCTGTTGAAAAGGACCAAAGTTTTCATGAAAAATGCAATCGCTTGTGGGAGCTTTGTAAGAATTGTTATGACAAATTTGGAGCGAAGACTGAAGATGCTTGTTGGGAGCTGGGGAGTTTGATCCTTTCTTTGGTTGACTCTGTCGTCAGTATGAAGATTTATCTATTATTCTGCAGACAACTGCTGATTTGAGTTGTATGTATGCGATAAGGGTTCTTTTTCATTTGATGAAAGAGGCCAATGACCCCTGTATGAGCATCTGCTTGATAAGGGCTATAAGTTTCCTTCAATGGATTCTCTTACCCAAGTTTCCTCAAGGACTCAAATTCTTTGCAAGAAGTATTTTTATGAGTATTGGAATTAGGGCGGTCGTGAGCATACTTTTATGAAGGCGAAGAAGATGGAAAAGGTTAGATAGAAAAATTTTATTCTCCTTTGTTTGTTTCTTTTTTTTTTTTTGTTTGTTTGTATCTAATATTTTGTTTTCTTTTTGCAGCAGCTCGAGAAGGAGATTGCTATGAAAAGTTGCAGAGGGAACAGGACAAGAGAGATGAAGAAAATGCTCGAGATGATGACATTGGTGATCATCCAATTTAGTTGTCTTTGTAGTTTAGCTTTTAGATTTTAAGTCGAGGAGTGAGGTTTTGAAAGATCTTTTGACATTTGTAAATATTGAAACGAGCATGATAAAGTTAGTGTTATGCCGTTGTTAATGTGTAAGGACAACTTTGTCGTTGAACCTTCGCTATGGTTGGAGTATGAAACCAATGAGGAGAATCCTACGTTTGATACATTTATTGAACGTAAGCTCACGTAAGCGTTTAAGTTATATTTTTTGTTTTTTGATTGTCATGATTTTTGTTCTGATGGATCATGATGTTCTAGATTTTGAATCTAAAAATCGTATTGCTGAAAGCACGCAACCTTGCTTACCACGTGTTGTCGACTTCAGCAAAATTTCTCAGTTATTTGCTGATTCTTCCTTTTTCTCATGAATTTTGAATTGGATAAGGAATATTTTGACATTTTTATTTTTCCATGTCATCGTGTTCGAGTGCTTCGCCAAGCTTTGTTTCTGAAGATTTTCTATGCTCAGAAGTGGATCGTGTGTTGGATAAAGCTGTTGAAGACTTAATTAGTGAAGCTGCAACTATTGTAGCTGTTGATAGCATAATTTGGATGCCCAGGTTTATCGTGAAATTTGGTTTTTGGCAATGTCCTGTTCATAGGCTACTGCAATATTTTCATTGGCCGATTTAATGTTTGAGCAAAATAAATCGGTCGCTGACAAGTATTCTGATCAATTTGTTAGCTAGTCTAACAGCAGCATGCAGGAGGAGCAAAAAGACATTCTTCTGGATTGGCGAGTGCTGGCTGGTGGCAGTTTGGCATCAAGCTGTAGGAGCCAATGATCATGCGTGGAGTAGCTATAGCACTGGTGAAGGAGTACGATCAGAGATATGCATGTGCAGTTAGGCGTCATTTACTCATTTTGATGGATGCTGGAGCATACGTGTTGGAGAAGGCAAGCAAGAGAAATATCAGAGGAAGGGAACGGAAAAGATTTTTAACGCCAGTTAATTGTTTGGCTGGAAGGTGCAAGCTCTCTGATTGGCTGGACGGAAGGATTTTTGATACTAATGAGGAACAAGGCCAACAAACCGGAGGATTAATAGGGATATTCTATTATATTTCCATACATGTATACAACTCCCGTTTTGTATCTCTGCCGAAAACCAGGTGGGGTGTGTATATATATATATATATATATATATATATATACACTATCTTGTAGCTGACTACAAAAATAATTTATTCTGTAGCCACTTTGAGTTACGATAATTACTATGTTAATTTACGAAATTATAGTGACTCCTTACTGAGTGGTTTACTATAACGTTATGGTAAATATCTCCTCATGTTATAGGAACCCAACTATCATAAATACGTATTGACATTATCGTAAATTAGTATATAAAATTATCGTAAATGAAGATGGTTACGGAATAACTTATTTTGTAGCTAGCTACTGAATGTACTCTTCCTATATATATATACACAGCCGATTGTTTTTGCCTTCTGATCAATCGACATATACACAACATACATTACTTTTTCATCTACGTTTTCTTCCAGCTTAGTAGTTCGTAGTTCTTGCTGTAACATATGTTAGAAAGCAACGGTATAATACCCGTGCTAACGCAACGGATTTATCTTGGAGACGCATATGAAAACAACTAATATTTTTTTTTCTTCATAGTTCAACTTTTACACAATATCTTTGAGCATGTATACAATCCGGGAAACTAAGAAGTCATAGTACGGTATAATCAGTGATTGCAGCAAACTCAGGGGCCACGACAGCTTCCTCCTCCTGCACCTTTGCTTCCTCTAGGTCTATGTAGAAGAACAGATCAACCTGCAAACAACATTCTCATATAAGAATGCAAAGGTTACCAAAAAATCTGGACTCATTACATCTCCAATGTCATTTTGAACAGCATCATTAGCTAGCATACCATGACTTCCCACTTGTGCCCAGGGAGGATAGTGCCCCTCATCTGCTGCAGAACTATCCTGGACAAAAGCCAGAACAGGTATCCAATGCTGTTCCTCCCCCTGTTGTTTGCTGGGATGCCAGACATCATGTACCCCTCTTGATATTCAGTTTATTGTAAACTCAACTCAAAATGATGCCAGATTTTCCCCAAATTTAATTTCTACCATTATCTGAGACAAATGACATGGTAAATGGTGCCAAGGGTCATCGATGAAGTCTATCTGTGCAGCAGGATCTCTCATTGTGCAAACCCTATATATATTAGGAACCAAATTAATTTGGGGAAAATTAGAGAGCTCACAGAAGATGGTTTCTAGGAGGATTTTTAAAATCCTAGAAAGCATGAAGCAAAAAGCAAAAGGGAGAAATAACCCCCAGGTTCACAGGTTCAGAAATAACAAAGAGCTAAAGATTCAGAAATCATGAAGGAAATATAAACTGCTTGTGGTTGAACCTTTGATGTGCTGTTTAGCAGCAACCTTCTATATTCCATTTAAGAAGAATTTTTTTCTCACTGTTACAACATTCAGCAAACTGCGATGTTATTCAATACTTTCTCCAAGGCCAAATCAAATCCCGCAATCCAAAAGCCTGCAATGAATTTGGCAACAAAAGCAGTAGGTTTTTCCAAATCCAAATGGAAAAAGTCTACTTAACCCCCCACCTTTCATACATGGTCTACTTCACCCCCCAACTATGAAACCATCTGTTTTACCCCCTGAACTTTCCAAAACCGTCTATTTTACCCCCCGGACGGTTTTTGACAGCGGTTTTGCTACAACAACAGCGTGTTTGCTACAGTAACGGTGGGTTTGAATTTCCTTTTTAGTTTATTTTCGGTGATTTTTTGAAAAATCATAGTAAATCATAGAACCGCGGTTACTGTCGACCATGTATGAATACCTGTTGCTACAGTCTTTCCAACCCCGTTGTTGCTGTAGCAAACCGCTGTCAAAAACCACCCGGGGGGTAAAATATACGGTTTTGGAAAGTTTAGGGGGTAAAACAGACGGTTTCATAGTTGGGGGTGAAGTAGACCATGTATGAAAGGTGGGGGGTTAAGTAGACTTTTTCCAAATCCAAATTAATTAAAACATCGTCATCAAGTTAATTCCTAAACAGCTAACGTGCAAAGTTGAGAAAAAAATCATAGGCACCATCTTACTATGGTAAAATATAAATAAAACAATATAAAATTTGTAAAAAAAAAAACGAACAATCAACTCTTACTTTCTCCACCTTCGTATTCAGCTCTTGCACCTTCTTATCAGCATCGCCAACCCTAGCCTCCAGAGCTTTTTTTTTTGTTCTGTAATATCCTTCTTGAGCTTCTCAATCTGGAAGAAGTCAGAAACCACAATACTTTGTCACAGTAACAGTTCATGGAATTCTAGCAGCCCACTACCTGCTTCTCGAGCTCAATAGCCCGTGCATTGGCCTTGACAATCATATCCAGTGTTTCAATTGCATCATTCTTGGTCTTCAACTCCAGGTTCTAGTCTACAATGCGTGACTCAGCAGAATGTAAACAATCATGCCAGTTTCTCACCATTCAAAATTTTAAGAAGAAAACACGATCTCTCAGACTAAAGCTGAAACTGTAGCTTACAAAACACGATAGATTGGTGTGAGCATAATGCGCTCTAACTTGCAAGGGGGATGTAGGCACAATAAGAAGGCTTTTGCTGCATGGTTTGAACAGAAACATTTCTGAGATAAACCTCGACCTTCGTCAAAGCGTTTGAAATCGCCTGCCAACAGCCAAACAATCGGGTACTCATCAAATCCCTCCCCAAACCGAACTCCCTTATCTCGCATTACCCCGTTCCGTCACCACACAATATTGAATTTCCACCAGAACCCTAGCGAATCAGCTAAACCCCACCGACGCCGCAGCAGAACAGCACGAAGCGGAGCCGGAATCAGGTAAGCTAGCACGCACCTAACGTGAAGATCTTCACCCTGAGCTGCCCCAGCTCAGTGGCCAGCACAGCCACCTGCTTGGCCCTCGCGCTCGCCACGATCTCATCCGCCGCCAGGGCCACGGCCTCCACCGGCGTGTCCTGCGAGGTCACCGGCCCGCGCGTCCTCGCCCGGCAGGCGGCGGCCCGCGACCCCGGCCGCGCGGCCTCACTGGCCTTGCGGCGTCCCCGCCCTGCGACGCCTCTGCCGCGGCCTTGCCTTTGCCCAGCGGCAGCCCGCGCGGCCTCGACGGCTCCCCTGCACTTGCTCCTCCAGCAGCAGGGAGGAGGGGGGCGCCGTGAGGGAGGGATCGAGGAGGAGCTGCGGCGTGCGTGGGGGAGAGATCGAGGAGTCCCCCTGGTCATCGTGCGTGGGGGCGAGATCGAGGAATCGCGACGTCTGGGAGAGGGCGATGGAGGGCACACACACTAAACATAAAACATAAGTCGTTGATTTGATGAGCAAGAAGAGAGAAGGATTAAGAGATAATCTGATGTATCTGTTTTAATATTATTATATTTTCTGGGTGTATTCATGGATGTAGATGTAACATAGATTATGATTATAGAGTAGGCATTTATTGTGTGGATGTAGATTTATTCTAACTGGTGTATTATAGGGATAGTAGATTAAAACCTTGATCATGAGCATCATCATGCATAATCATCGAGCATTGTAACATAAGTGCATTTTATGTTTCAATTATTGCTTTCATATGTTGCTTGTGAGGTGATTCATATGTTACATGGAATGATATCAATAATAATGTTTAATGCTCTTTGTGAATTGTACATATGAGAAATTATTTAAAACAATTAAAATTTTGTTAAAATGAAATTTGTAGTACAAAGTGTGCTTTATAATGTAGAATCAAAGTATGATAATGTTTCCAAACCAAACATGATGAAATTGGACTCCAAAGATTGAATTTAATGTTGTTTTCCCTCTTAGCATTTTGGCTGTCATGGAAATCAATACTAAGTTCAATTTTGGGAGATTTATTAAATCAACTTTCTTAAATAAAACTTGCCCAACTTTTCCTTCATTGATTGGAGTAATGCTTGTTCTTTGGTGATATGTAATTAGTTGATAGATTTGATATATGGTTAATCTCTAATTAAATCCCAAAGTTTGTTAACCAAAACTTCTTTTCAAAACCCTAACTGAAGATCTGAAGTTCAGTTCCAAGATACCTATGTTCTTATCCTTGGATCTCTCCATCTAGTGATAATCAGAGTTTGGTTCTTAAAGAAAAGTTGAAGTCTGCATCAACATGAACAAGTTTTATTTTTGAATATCATCGAGTTTCTACTTGGAATCAGGAGAAAATGGAAGGAGAAGGGAAGGGTTTTAGTTGGCTAGAGTACTACACCAGCAGCAGCTTGTCTGCCTCATCACCGCCGTGCGTCGTTGGCCGTCTTCGCGTGGCCTCTCGCACCTGGACACGCGGACCCTTGCGTGGCCGTGTTCGCGAAGGTGCTAGCGAAGTTGGAGACGTCGCCCTCGCCCTTAAAAGCCCGCACCGGCCGCCGTCTCTCTCTTTTCCTCTCTCTGCTCCATCGCTGTCCGTTCCGTTCGCCAGCGAAATTCACCACCGTCAAGCCGTCTTCGTCCAATTGCTCACGCCCACAGCTTCGCCTCGCTTGTGCGCACCCGATCGGCCAGCTCGCGCTCTCTCTCTCCGCCAGGCTTGGCCATGTGCGCCATTCTCGTCGCGGCGGCCTCCATAGCCATCGAGATGCCCCCCTCACCGTGGCCAGGCTTCTCCAGTGCACCTATCTCTCTCTCGTTTGATGCTTTAGCTTCCTCGTGTCGCTGTGATGCTCATAGGCCTCCTTGTTTTGTCAGAAGTGCGCCGGAGCCACTAGAACGACACCTCGCCGCTGTGTCCGCGCCGCCGCATCCGCCCCCGTCGACGGTAGCCGCCCCCGTCGCGTCTCCGCCTCAGATGAGTAGTCGAGCAAGTTCGTGGTGAGTCCCTGGTGCTAGCTGACGCCTCAATTTAGTCTCTATCGGCTTGTCGTGTCTAACACGTCGTAGCCGCTCTGCCGTGGCCGCCATAGCCGGCGTCGAGCTCGCCTCGTAACCCTAGCTGTTCGTTTAGCACCGTAGATCGATGCGCGGCGTCCTCCTGTGCATGTGGGTGCTAGCCGCGTCGCCAGAGGTCTCGTCGGCGGCGAGAACCCACTGGTCAGCGCGGGGAGGCCGCCGGAGTTGACTGGGACCCGCTGTCAGCGATAGTGGGTATGGGGCTCGGGTGAAAAATGTTTTCCAGCAGTTTTTGATTTTCAGAAAATGATTAAAAGTACCGATTCTTGTTTAATTTGTAATAAATTGTAGAAGTGTGACAAAATTATGAAAATTGTTGTGTAACCTCTTCATGATGTGCTCTATCTATGAAAAATATGAAAGGGTGAAAATAAATAGTTTTTGCATGGTTTAAAATTACCTCTTTTAATTGATAAATGTACCTTCCATGATTTTTATAGGCTAAAATAATAATCCTTTAATCATGAAACTTTTTGTGTAAATGTTATGTGCAATAACCTACCTCCAGAAAAAGTTTGGTACTGTTTGATAATTTTTAATTATTTACTTAATTTCCATGCTTTAATTAATTAATTAATAAATACCAACATGCTTAGGATAAATCATGAAATAGCTTGGGTATGTTTTGGAATTGATTGTTGACCTTGGGAAACTTTTACCTCTATTGTTCCTTGGCAATTTAATTGCTTATTGGTTGCGCTCATAATCAACTTGGTGATAATAATAATTAAAAGTGCTTTACGTCAATTACTTGTAATTGTATCGTGAAGAAAAGTTATGCTCAAGTTTGTTAATCTTGTTTTAGTTCATGCACGCACTTGCATACATCTTTCCTACATCATTTTTATTTGCATATCATCATGTCAAGTATGCATCTTTTATCACGTGTAGTAACCGAAGGTGAGGAAGTGACCGTTGATCAAGTTCCAGAGGAAGAGAATCCACCAGTGGAGGTTGGTTTCGATATTTGTGGTTCGTTAGGAGGACCTAACACCTCTACTAACCAAGGCAAACCCCAAAGCATACAACCCTTTTCCTTGTTGTTTACAAATGCTATTATCAATTGAGTCCAAT